CTGGGAGTTGAAGTCCACACGTCTTCAAGTTGCCACAGTTGAGAGACACTGATCTAAGGAATGGAGCAAGAATGGAAGAAAAGCTGGAATGTATTATATCAATATTCCCCTACCTTGTGAACTACCTTCCTTTGGGGAAAACAGAAAATATGTTTGAAGAAAATCATTCTCTATTATGCTCAACATGATTTAATCTGAGTAGAGACAGATCCTTATCTGAAGAACCTACGATTTCAACCTGGGATCTTCTGTGCATAAGCAAAATGGAGAGTAAGACTTTGCACATCATATATATGGAATGTGTTTTAGATGTCAAAAAAATGAAAAATGAAAATGAAAATCAATAAACCTCACCAGCTTTCAAATGTTTTCATCTGGAATCTTGGACATCGCATGTAAGAACCCAGAAATCTTGTCACATTTGACATTCCAGTAAGAATTGGCCCACTGTAATTCTTTTTCCAAAGCTTTTAAAGGAATTATTGTTTGTTTTGTCATTCTGAGGAAGACAATGTGCACCAAGAGGTGGGTGCTAAAGTGCCTGTAGATACTCTGTCATGGCTGACCCATTTGCATTGAATCAAACCACATATTTATGCAGCTCCAGTCTGTCTCTTTTGACCAGCAGTATCTGCCCAGGCCTAGCTTGAGCTGACAAGGCTCAACCCCTTCTGGTCCTTCGAGGGCCTCTTTCGGTTCTTCACCCCTTCCAACATGCTCCATTCACTTACTTCAGCACTTCTTCTCTGCACTGCTTCTGGGGGGCAAAACAGGCGATGGCCCACACCTTGATCTCAATGCCATTGTAGAACTGCTTCCCTCTCATATCCCAGACCCCCTGGTTGGGTGTGGCAATGGCACGATTCTGTGAGAGGAAAATGCTTTTTTAAAAACTATACCCCAAAGACCCAGAGAGGGGTGGGATTGGAGCTTTACTCCCATTGTCCTGTTTTTCCCCTCTGAATTTTCCTGCCATCTTCCCCATCCCACCATGGCCTTCATGTCCTTGGCAGATCCTAAAATCACTAGTCTCTACTTTAGATATGAAGGTAACCATTTTAGAAACCTGTCCAAGTCAATTTTCTGGTGTCAGTTTTCAGGCTTAGTTCCTGGTTAAAACTTGACTGCAAGACCTCATGAACATTTCAGAACTGGGTTGACATACCATGTTAAGCCTTGATTTTTTAAAACAGGGTTTCTTAAGCTGTGCTTTGCTAACCACAGTGGCTGAGTTCACACATCACACATTAAACTAGGCCCCCAAACCAAAGCAGCCACATTATAACCCAACCAAATCAATACCACCACATTATAATTTAATTTGATGGGTCAAACGCAGCCAATAGGACTTGGGCTAGGATTGACTTGGATTCAACATTTCCATGGAAGTCTTCAAGACAGATCTCTTTTTTACTACTGGCCACCTCTATAAAACAAAAACAAAACTAATGATTTGCTGACGATGTGATTGAGGAGATTCTCAAGGATGTTGCCCTTTTAAAAAAGGCGCTTCTAGAGACATACAAACGTCTTTCCCCTCCTTTTCTTTTTTAAGATCACAGCTCAGGTTCTCAGTGTGGGCATGGGATTATATCTGGTGCTACCCCTTTGTCCCTGCCAAAAAATAATGTGAATTTTCCTGTGAAATAAGAAAACATTAACATTTACTCACATGAAGTCGTTTTTCTTTCAGGAAACAGCAGTTACAGTAGCAACAATTAAACGGCAAATTTACAGTATTAAGTGAATTACAAAATTAGGCCATGATTAGTCTCTGAGCTGAATGGCTCAGACATGTGCTTTCGCTTTGATAGCATGGTGGAGGAGAGGAAGAAGGGGAGGAAGTAACCTCACAGAGTCTCTGCCTCCTTCCATGTGTCTATCTAGGAATACAGGAGCTGTGAGTTGTGGGGGTTTTTTGGTGTTTTTTTTACTGCATTATCCTACACTCAGAAAGCCACATTCTACCCCAGTTTCTGAAGGAAGGCTTGTTATGAGTCGATAAACAAGCAAACAAATAAATATCTCAGCCTCCAGGAGGGCTTGTGAACTAAAGAAAAAGCAACCCAGAGGTTCTTTACTACTCACCCGGCCTCCATATTGTAAAATCGGGGCTGGCAGGACCCGCCCAGTCACTTCTGTCATGTCATCTTTCACTTTTATGCCAAACTCCTGTATGTATGGGTCCAGGTTGTAACTGGCATTTTTCATCTGCAAGACAAAGAGAGTTTTAAGTTTTCAAACAAACTAGTCTCTCTCCAGGGGATAGCCAGAAAATAAGAGACGCTCTTCAAAGGGGAAAAGATGTGGCTAATTTCTACACTCTCGGGTTATTTAAACCAGCCTTGCTGAAATGAACATCCTCTAGATGTGCTGGGACTGCATCTCTCATAATTCCCGGATGTCTCAACACTTCTGGAACAGACTGAGTTGGAGAAGACTGGCTTAAACTAAGAGCAGGCAATCAGCCAGTGACTTGCTGGAAAGCTGAAGACTTCTTGTGGAACAATAGTCTGCGTCAACACAGCCAAGAGTAACAATTGAAAGGCCCATACTATCCATACCTGGTTTTAAGCATCCAAAGGGTCATCTCTTTCCCTTCCCACCCAACATACTCTTTTTTATTGCCCTTGCAGCACCTGCCCTGCAAAGCGAAGGCTGAAGCTGGCACCGGATACTTTGCAGTGTTGGTGTAAACACAGCCAGAGCCAAGAATTAAACTTCTGCCCTCTCTTCTTCCTGAGTTACCACAGCACTGAGCTCTGGGCCTCCTACCGCTCTCACGCTAGCCCAAGGAAGGTCAAGGGCCCCTCCCATTCCAGCATCCTTCCCACAAAGCAAGTGGAGGAGAGAGACTCACCAACCGGCTAATCTCTTCTTGCCTGTCAGGAGCAGATCGTGCTGTAGCTTTGATCATGGTAGACGTCTGATTGTCCGTCAATTTTTTGATGCACCGCTGGCCAGCCACAATGTTGCACACCTGGAAAAGGGGCAAGAAGGTATTCATTTAAAACCACTGCCCTTCCTTGAACTCAAATGGGGGTCAAAACCGTGGCGATCTCATGCCTTGTGTATCATCCTGATTTGCCAAACCATGGTTTGTTCAATGAAGCAAAACCGGCTGGGACGACGCATCATGTTAAGATTTGATTGGCTTAGTTTTACTTTCCTGGATGGGCCACAGCAAAGTGCTACAAATTACGGTTTACAGATCATAAAGGCTGGAGTCATGCAACACGCTAAGCCAAAATCAAATAATCCCATGATGGCTTAGTGTTAAGTGTGGATCTAGCTCTAGAAAGCATATCTCACACACACCAAGTACTTTGAACAAATGACGGGAACAGCAGTAACAAAAATACTAATAGAAGATTCTGATTTATTTACTTACTTGTATTTTATATCATTTTAGTCTATCATTATTGTACTTTTATCCCTGTACTTCTATATTCTATATTTCATTCATTCTTATTCCTTGTTATATGTGTCATACTTACTACTTGTAAATTGACAATTTACATGTATGTATATTTATATTCATGTTTTAGGTTTACAGTATATTGCTGTTTTCTGATCTTATGGCTGTATAAAGTTATTTGATTTAATCCTAATAGACAGAGCAACCCGCTCTGCTATACCCAGTCTGCTCCCAGCTTTGACCAGTTTCCTCAATGGTCCAAACCAATTTGTCCTTTTTGGAAAGGAATTCCTTCAAGCTGGCACTACTACAGAGAAGGTCCTGCCATTTAAAGCAACCAGATTTGCTTCCTATCATGGAGGAAAGAGGTTCTCACTCTGCAGGCAGCAACAGAAATGGAGACTCATACAGGTCCACATTAAGAGGAAAGACTTACCAGGCAGGCAGATGTGTGAGAATTTGAGCTGGAAATTAAGTTCCCCAAAGATTCAGTGAGTGACTTATTCATTTCAGTAAGTCAACCGCATTCAAGAAAGCGAGGGATCTCATTGGCCAATTTCCCAAGCCAGTGGCACGACTTATATTTGGGGTCCAGACAGTCTCTGGGTCAGATACAGCAACTCCAGGGAAAGTTGGGTAAGTAATTCCCAACACGATTTCTCAGTGTGTTTCTGTCATTCAGAGCAGACAGCACAGAGCTAGACTGGCATATGGGCCAAGCGGGCATAAAGCAGCTGGTTCCTGTCTGCCATGGGTGCCCCACTTTGATCTGAAGACAATGGATAATGCTTCTGTTCTGCGCTCCGTCTGGACGAGGAGCCGAGCCAGTTACAAAGGTTGGAATTCCAAGACGAGCTTAGGAGGAGATTAGGGGTCTCCAGTGGGTTTGGGGGATTTTGACAAAAGAGCAAAAAGAGGTTTTAAAGAACCCCTCTTCTTCTTTTGTATGTCTTATCTTTTTAGTAAACAGAAGGCTTGCATCTCATCACTTGAGTTAGCAGTTCTGGGGCATAATATTTGTCTGGAAATTAGCATGCCCCAGTGTTTTTCAACCTTGGCGACTTTAAGATGGGTGGACTTCAACTCCCAGAATTCCCCA